TTTTGTATAAAGACGAGTTAGTCACTTTGTGAAAGTCTGTAAAATATTATAAATTCATTTCAATTTTTCAATAAAGACATGCCATTGTGGCATGATTGTGGATTAAAAAAAAAAAAAAAAGTTATGTCATTTATATACTGTAGATGATTATAACTTGTCTTAAAAAGAGCTTAACTTTCTTTTCAGGTTTATGGAAGTTAAATAATCATTCTTTTTTATAGAATAGCCTAAATCAATACTGTTTTATATTTTATATAGTAAAAAATTATAAAAAAATTTTTATAACAATAGAAAAATTGTTTATTTTTGATTTATATTATTTTTTACTATTATTGAATTTAAGAGTCTATTGAGAAAAATAATATTACAACTTTTGTTTTTGAAAAAATTTATTATAATCTTTTTGATAGTTATAGAAATTTAAGCATAAAAAGAAATATTGTATCATAAATTTTAGCCATGTCTTAAAAAAATTTACAATTCTTTTTTTTTTCTGACTTTTTTATATATATTGTTTAAGAGATAGATCAATTTGCTATACTTTTTTCTTATATATCAATAAAGTTTGAACCTTTTAAAATTTTATATTATTTATAGATAGTTAATAGTTAATTAGTGAAAATCTTAATAAAGAATTTTCTGACTATTTTTAAATGAACAATTGATCTTGCATTATTTAATTTATATTTCCAAGATTTGAATTTAAAAATAGAATTGATATTACTATTTTTCTACTTTTTAGATGTCTGGTTAATACTTAACATCTTATTAAAAAAAAGATATAGAATTTCTTTTTCTTTAGTGTCTAAATACTTAAGTATTTTATAATTAATATATAAAAAACTGGCTATTCTATTACTTGGAAAATATTGTAAAATATCTTTGAACTCTTTTATTTTAATTTTCTCTATTAATAATAAATATTATATTGAGTTGATCCATTCTTGAATTGATATTCTTTCTTTCAAGAAAAATCCAAGCTTTCAAAATTAATATTCCTTTGTTTGAAAGTTTCTTTGTAATATTCTTCAATTTTACTTTGAATAATTTGAAAATTAATAGTTATATATTCTATTTTCTCTTGATTTTTGATTAATACTTAACTTAAAGTTATTTTGAATCTTTTCTAGTTTAAAATTGAGATCAGTATTTGTTTTTAATTAATTTTAAGATCTTTGTATCTATTCTCCAGAACCTTTTTAATTTGATTTTTAATATAAAAACTTTTTTTATTTTTATATATTATTTTAAGAATATATTCTATATAGTAATATTTTTCAATTATTCTAAAATTTTTTCTTGTATGTATCTAGGAAGAGGCTAGTTCTTTATCAAGAATTTATAGAGGTCTTATAAACTTTTAATAATATCATTTATATCTTTTAGTATTATTATGTCCCAGTTTATTTATAGTTTCTTTAAGAAGATGTAAATTTTATAGACTTTATTATAAACTTTAAAGTTTTTTCTTGAAATTGTAATTTTTGATTTAACTTCTTTTTTTTTATTGAAGTTGAAATAGATTTTTTTTTTTTATTGAGATATTTATATACACTTTTAATAATTATTATCTTATGTTATGATAAGCATCTTCAAGTTTTGAAAAATTATTTTCTGTATTTTGTTAAAAAGATTGAAGTCAATTTTTAAAGTTTTTATTCTATTCAAAATTTGAATTATTTCTATTGTTTAATTATGAAATTTATTGAATTAAGTATTTTAAGTATTTTTTTTTTCTTTTATTCTATATTACTCTTGAGTTTAATTTTAAGCAAATTATTTATTATCCTTTTTACTAGTAATAAAGTATAATAAATATCTCATAATACTTTCACAAAAATATTTTTAAAATCATATATATTGTTTAAATCAATTTTTAATAATAAACAAATATAATTAATTTTGCTATATAATATATTATTTGCCTATGTAAAAGTAATATTTTCTATTTCCATCTGTAGTAGTGACCTGCAGGCAATGATATTAAAAGTTGGAAGGGTTTTAGCTAAACTCCTAATAGAACAATAAATCACTTTCAAAGTTGTATTTAGAGTAGAAGCTAAAAATCTTTTAAAAGTTTTTTTACAAATCTTCAGTAATTACAAAGATGCGTAAGCTAGTTAGCATTTTTTATCTTTAGCAATTTATATTATATGTATAGTTTACAAATGTTTAATAAAGTACACATAACTAACCTAACAGAGGGTTAAAAAAAAAAGTATTTCCAAAAGTTTTGAATATTTATATAATTCTAGTCTTTAAAAGAATTGAAAAATCTATTTCAATTTTTTTATATCATGAAGTTTTTTTATTTGAATATGGTCAACATCAGAAAAATTTTTTGATAAAGATTTCCATAAATTTTTGGATATAAAACTTCAGAGACACTCCGTTATCATTAGAAGTCTCTGAAATGGAGATTTATATATAGAACTTTGGAGATTTTTGAAATTTTGAAATTTTAATAAAATAATTTCATATTATTATTAAAATATTTATTTTTAAAAATTTATTTATTGAAAATTACTTTTTTTGTATATTTTTATTAATCATTTACATTTACATCACTTCTTGTCAAAATAGATCTTTCTATTCCTATATTTTTCAATTGCAACCCTAGATTATTTTCATCATTTTCTATTTTCTTTGAAATACTTTAAATTTCAATATCTTTCTACTTATGTATTTCTTGATCCTTATCACTTGAATTGTTTTCCGTAAATCTGATTTTCTTTTTAATTTTTTCCTAAAATATATTAGCAATAAACAAATAACTCTATAATACTTCAAAGAATTTTAAAAATTATCTTATTTTTTTCTATTTTGTTTTTAATTAACACTTCATTAATTAAAATACTTTTATTACTCAGATTTAGAATCATTTAACATATTGCGATAGTGAATGCAACTTGTTTTTTGAAGGTATTTTTTTTTTATCAGACTTTTTCAGGAATGTGTACCATTATACTTTGGTTTTTTTCCCTAGAACAGATATAAAGATTTTTAAAGCACTCCTGAATTTTTTGTGATTTTTTTCAGGTCATAATTTCGATAGCAATTGTATTTGTATTGATTGTATCCAGGGAGTTTTTGCCAAAGACTGAAAACATGGTATCCTGAATTTTCAAAGCCATGATCCCTTGAAGTGATCTGTGTTGTCTTATAAGCTATTAAATAAATAATATTATTAATAAATTTATTTATATTATTAATAACTGCAACAATTACTGTTTGGTGAATATGCTTTTCATAATACATCTTCCAATGTTTTTTTGTGAGGCCTATGAAGAATTTTGAATATTCTTGCTGAAAATATTTCTTTGTATATCAGCAAAAATATTCAGGATCCATATATATTTTTTCAAAAAAGATTTCTTTTGTAATACTCTTGACCACATGCTATTATAAAATTCAAAATGTTATTGAAGTTTTTCAAAGATTAAAAAATTAAATCTTACCTCGATAAAATCCTGTTTGGTGATTAAATGTTGACTTATATGAATTTCATTTTCTAGGTGGATTACTTTATCCTCAATAACTTTTTGACATTCTAATAACTAATTAATTTTCTTATGAAGACTTTCATGAAACTCCAAAAGCCTTTCGATTACTATATTAGAAACTAAGTATATAAATTAGTATTTACCTATACACCTGTAAAATAAATAAAATTTTAGAACCAAACTATAGTCAAATGGTTCAACTTTGCAAATGGTGTATCGAGTAAATGAATTAAGATAATCAATCGTGATTGGTTAAATCAAATCGTACTATTTCGAAATGGTACTGAATATACCTAGCTAACGAAACATTTTTATGTAGGAATCCAAGACAGGGGAGCCCAATATATATTCCGTTTGGTGTCGAAGGGAAGCTGGTAGAACCACCCCATTGTCGGCCATTTCCAATAATAACAATATGGGACGCAATAGCCCTCCTTTGGACAATCTACATAATGAGAATGGAGTCTTACAAGGAAATGGAGCTTCAAGACCAGAAAAAATATCTTTCCAGAATGCTAATTGTCTTGGTAGACAAAATTGCGATGATGGAACCTAATGTGTCGGGTCGCCCAACAACAGTAAATGTAACGGCATCAACGAAAGAAGGGAAGATCGCAAAATTTATGTTCGGGGCGTCAGTTCGCAGTGGAATACAAATAGGGACAATAACAAAAAAGATGTTGTACGAGAATAACAAATCAATAGCAATGTCGAGGGTGAGAACTATACCGATATTACAATGGTGCCATTTGAATGTTGCCCAAACCGGGAGAGAATTCGATCATTGCAACTTTCCTTGGGGCAACTGCGCCGAATCGGTGTCTTGGCGGGCAATGCATGGACGAAAGAGAAGCCGAAGACACTGTGTCGTCTTGTGGTCCCGAACATTCAATCTACTGAGGCAAGAATTCCGGAAACCGTTTGCCATGTGTCGAAGGGTGAAAATCAGGATGAGTCTCGAGAAGGTCGCAAGATTCCGGAAAATCCGTTTATGTTAGTCGAAATAATCGCAAATAAAAAAGATCGTAAACGCGTTGCAAATTATCTTAACTGTAATATTGGAGGTGGGGATCCTTCTACTTGTATATGTTATATGGAAATTGTTAAACGGTATGGTTTTGATCATATCATTATCATCGGGGAACGTTACGCTGGAATTCTTTTCCTGGACTGCTACGGTCGTGTGTTCGAATGGGAATCAATGTGTAATGTTTTATGGTCGCTTGGGGATTATAGGAATGAGGCGACGAAGGAGTCTCGGACTAGTCGTGTAATATGGGGTTTAGAGTCCGATGGGACTATTGTTGAATTTGAGGACGTTAAGGATGGTATGTCGAGATTTTATTCAATCTCTTTTTTATCTTAAATTTTACAATTAGTTCCTTTTCTCCTAGATTCACCAAATGAACTAACCTTTGATAAACCCGCCACAAAAATGATTGATGTTCACCCTGTTGCAAAGAAGAAAAAGAATTTGAAAAAAAAGAACTCGAAAAAGAAAGAACATTGATCTGGTTTCTATGTTGTATTATTCTCAATTTCGATATATGTTTGCTATTAATATTACTCGCATAAATAAATAATTAGTGATCATAGCTAAGACAGCAGAGATTTTTTACCAAAAATAAATGACATGGGGTGCCGCTAATGCGTCACCCTTGTGGCACTTGTGCGTTACCTGTGCGTTACCTGTGCGTTACCTGTACAGCATTACAATCGAGTGAAATTTCCGGATCACGAGGAAAAATGTATAACGTGACTTAATCGCAGATCGTCACGCGAAAATCGCGAAATTATCAAAATTGCCGTGAGCCGTATTAATGTTTCGCGGAACTAACATTAGTTAAATATAAT